GTGAGGGAATTTTGATCTACCAAGATGAGGATCTCCAGGCTAGGAAGCAGGACGGAAATGGACCAGAGAGGAAGCTACACAACCAATGGTGCCCAAGGGAAATGGGAAGCCGGTCCTGCCTTTCCCTTGACCCTCAGTAACAGCCCCTTCCTTTCGCCTTTGAATTTTGATAAAGCGTGACTCTCTTCTTCTATGCTGGTGAAACCTGTACCTGTTGTTCCGTGGCACCCAAATGACCCTAAAAGGGTTTTCAAGTTACTGTATGTGAGAAGTTCAAGGAAGTGGCTTTCCCTTTGCTGCCGCCACCCCCGGTAAGCTTCCGCGACGGAGCAGAAATTTGAACCCATGTCTCCGGAGTCACAGCGAGAAACTCTTGTCTACGACACCCCAGTGGATCTCATTGATTACGCTTTTCTCACCCATCCTTTTAGAAAGACTTGCACAAGTATTGAAAGTGTCACCAGTTAAAAGGAGACCTCGGTTGGCAACATGAATGAGCTAGCATTGTAAGACTCAACTGGCCAGTTTGGGAGTGAAGTCACGCAAATGCCCTTTCCGGTTGCGATCCTTTGTGCCCCCAAATCACGCCAAGAGATGGAAGTCATTTGTACAACACCACAGGCTCTCCCAAAGCAGGTGACACGATCCGGGATCCACAAGGCACAACACAACACTTGCGCAAGCACAAGCAGGACTTGAAACCAGGGACAGGCCACCTCTGCTGGGTCGACATCCCTCTCCGGGAACGCACGAGCTGCAGGCTTCATCCCGCTGCGTTGTCAAAATAAGGCAGCAAACTGTTTGACTGAATTACAACAGCAAACTGACTGTGAAAAGTCATTAAAAGAAGCATGGAGTGTCTGGCCTATTTGCCCCCAAATTTTGGCAGTATTGTTGGGGCAGAGACGAGGAATGGAGGAGGCCACAGGCTGCACATCCCCTCCCAGCTTAAAACAACAACAGTGTGCATATAGTTCACACAGATGGCTTCTTGTGACCCTTACTCTTCCTTCCTTCTGTCTTTCTGTCTTTTTCTTCTTTCCTTCCGTTCTTTTCATTTCATTCCATTTCCTTCCTTCCTCTTTTCCTGCTTTTCTTACTTCCCCCATCTCACGCCTTCCTTCCTTCCTTCCTTCCTTCCTTCCTTCCTTCCTTCCACCCACACATCCATCATCAACTCCCTCCCTCCCTCCCTC